ACAAATACTTTTATCTACTACAAATAACATTAGTAATGGAATTGAATCAGATATCATTCACAGGATTGTTACATAATATAGTAAATGAAAGAGGAACAATTTTCAATAAATTGATAGATGTAGCCATTAACATGGTAGAGAAGCATCATGAAAAATGAGAATTAAAACTTTCTTTGTTTTTTACCAATTTTATTTGTAACTAACGTTACTACAATTTCATTATATGAGGACATTTTCAAACTGATACATTAAACTGAAAATGATTGATTACATTAGCCCTTATATATCTGAAATCTGAATTATAACACCATTTTAGGTAATATTGAAGGTACTTAGCTTAATTGAGTATATGAATTTTGTTCATTTGTGATAATGTGGATACGCTAATTTGAAAACCGGTGAGTAAACTAGATAATTTATGTGGAACAATAACAATAACAATAACAATAACGAAATTTCTGAAAACGGTATGCTGAACATGAAAGGTCCTTCAGACTAGGTGAAAATATTTCGACGTTTCCAAACCATTCCTTGGGATGCAATCACAAGTTCCCGAATCTAATCGACACGGAAATTTTGCACTATACAAGGAAGGGTTGCAAACTTATTTATTTGGAATCCTTGAAAATTCATAAGCAAAAACATTGTGAGTGAAACCTGTTAAATAATCAAATCGATCTAATTTACTCACCAGTTTTCCAATTAGTATATCCACATTGTCACTAGTAAACAAAATTCAGGTAGTCAATTATGCTAAGTACATCTATCATTACTTACAGTGGTGTTATATAAGGGATAATCTAATCAATCATTTTGAGTTTAATGTACAAGTTTGAAAATGTCCTTATAGGACGAAACTACAGTAACGTTAGTTACAAATAAAACTGGTAAAAAACATAGAAATTTCAATTTCCATTTTTCAGGTACAATTTTTCTTATCCGAAACACTGTCATCCACACTGGTGACAATGTCGATTCTAATTATAGAAAAGATGGATATCAAAATGAACAACAAGTGATTCATAAAAGATGACGCCTAGAAGCAGAAAACTTTTATTGTGAGCTGCATAATCTTTTGCTGAAAACCAAAAAGCATGGAAGAATTGCACATGTGTAATATTTTTAGGGAAGATGATTATTTATAGTCGTAAAATAAATAATTTGAATTCTCCTCCTGACGAAAACTTAAAATCAATTCCGCATCAATTTGACACCATGACTAATCACCTACACGATGAACCTGAATAGAATCACCCAAATAATATATCAAAAACAAAGAAAAATGAAGAAGAACCGATATGAAATATGAGCGAGTTGGGCGTTTGTGAAGAAGACACAGATAAATGCCAAGCGGACCCAGCGGGTAGGACGCCCTGTAGGGATTCAAACATGCAACACACTCTAATCTGTCATACCGTTCACCAGCCACCTTCTCTGCCTTTTGTTTTCCAAGAGTCTTGTCGCTCTCACAGCCACCTTCGAATAATTCAATTAATGCGATCCTATATTTTATCATCCGCGTATCATGTTACTTGATCAGCAGAGAATTTATTAATGTTTGTTTTCGAGGAGAGTGGGACAAAACGGCGTTTGATATATTTATTTATAGTGTTCCGGGAGTACGTGGGACGTGGAAGAAATTGCCGACTCTTCAGTTCAGTCAGTATTTTTGGTACCTAGAAATGTGACGATGTTGCAAAACTCGGTGGACATCTGAGTTAATGTTCTTGCCTTGATATTTATTTTCTTTTGACCACATATAAATCTGAGTTTCAGTTTTTGTGTATCATTCAACAATTTTTTCTATGATACATTGTAGTAGAGGTTCATGTTTATAACATCATAATTAGGGTTGACACCTTTTTTGCAATTAAATTAAATTGATTATTAAAGGTAGGAAACTGAAAATATATGGTGTTAAAATAAGTGAAATTATTATTTTTTTATTAAAATGTTCAAAAACATAGGTTTTATCCTTTTCGCAATATATATCAAACTATGAACTATGATCAGGGTTAAACAATTGAAGAGCATATTCACAATCTAAATTTGCATTATTGTGAATAAATCAGGTTTTTTTATCAGATTTAGAGACGCTTAGTTTTTTTTCATTTCGCCATTTGCGCCATTCGCCAGATTGAAGGCGCTCTTAAAGCGGTGCCTGTGCGAAAGTAGCGATTCACATTGGATTTGAATGTGATTGAATCCATTTGGAAAATCGTTCTCAGAAAGTTTATTCCTCATAAAGGTAGTTCTCCAGATGAAATAGTTCTTAAACAGTGAAGTTCGAGGTGTACTGAGTTGAATATTAAAACAATGAGCAGCCACAGTCCGTCGAGTTTTTCTGATATGTACCGCTCTTGGTGGAATCAATTGTGCCAAGTCCTTTGAACACTTCCCGTGAAAGTATCTATAGAAGAGAGACAAATCTCCAACCTTTCTTCGATGTTGCTGTCACGGTTGCAGGTGATGTTCGCGTCTCCAATCAGGCGAATGGCTCTTTTCTGGATGAAATCCAGCAATTTCAGAGTATGTTTGGGGGCAGAGCTCCATGCATGAGAACAATATTCCATAGAAGGTCTGATACGAGCTTTATGAAGTATCAAAAGTTGCTGAGGTGTGTACAGTTTTCTGGTTCTCAACAGTGTTCCAAGCTTTCGAGAAGCAGCCTTTGCAATTCCAGCGACATGATTGTGCTAAGACATATTGGTGTCCATTTTAACCCCCAACAAACTTATCGAAGCAGAAAGCGGTACTGTCTGAGCTGACATTATTATATCCGGTTCGGAGACATTTATCTTCTTGGGAAAGTCGATGCTTGGATTTTTGTGGCATTGAATTGAACGTGGTTACTTCCACCCAATTCAAAATAACTTCTAGATCCCAATTGAGATATGCAACCTCCTGCTGCCGATGAAGATGTGCATTCCGAGCCGATGTCCTGGAATCCAGATAGAATGACGAGGCAAGTGTGCTGTCGTGTCGTGTGCTGGTTCGGTTTTCCGGACTGGGATTTTTGCGTCACTGCCGGTGGGCGACATTTTTGGAGGCGACAGCTTGCTCGAAATTTTTGTTGAACCAAGATTTGCCGTTAGAAGGTCGTTTAATTGAGAAAGGAATATATGCATCCATGGATAGAATAACCTCCGTGACTCCAGAAGCACAAGTTGATGGATCTTTAGAGCTGAAACAAATATCTAGCCAGGGGAAATTAAAGATCCTCCCATTCAGCTGATCTGTAATGCCAAATTTTGCGTTGCTTAGATTGTTCCCCAACATTCATCGGTAATTCACTCAACACTGACATGAGTTTGTGGTCAGAAGATCCCAATGGAGACCTTACGGTGATTGTTTAAATTTCTGGATTGATCATCAAAATCTACTTTTGTGCAGTAGATAATTCCGCTATAAAGCAATTTTTTCATGAAAATGATCCATAAGGGAAGATTGACATCATTCTTACACTTTTTAGACTTTGTTTTTTTTTTTTTAAATTTTAATGAATATTACTGGAGTTTTTTCCCAACACCAAATCGTTATTTTTAACACCTCGACACGTGTTTCGATCACCAAGTGATCATCTTCAAAGAGGAAGATTGAAACTAGAAACTGATGCGAGCTATATAAAACAATTTTCAGCTATATAAAAATTAATTTCACAATATTGCCTATCCAAATTTATTTTTGCAATGTGTCCTTATGTAGTAATCAGTAAACATAACAACATTATTTTATTTTATTTCAACAAGCTATATAGTATGCTCTTTGGTATAGGTCCGTCATCGTTATTCATAATATTATTGTGTTTATTTATTTCTACTGCCTGTTTTTGTTAACTTGTCTAACTAATCTCAATGAACATTAAGATTAGTTAGATCTTAATTACTACACCAAAGGTTCCAAACAGTGCATCATAAAAATTAAATTCTGATATCGGTTATTATAATCGGTTATTATAACAAATTACATATATTAAGCTTCATGATAAAAATGTATAGAGACATTATTTCTGAATGAAATGCATTTTAGTAAAAGCTGTCAAATGTCCGAATCTACACCACTAAAGGGGTACCTTCGTACATAAGTAGAAGAATATTCGGACGTTAGGTTGGTAGGTAGGTACAGGTTAAATAAAGTAGCAAATTAATCATAAAAACTTGGTATTAAAAATAGCAACGATGTAATAAACTATATGACAAAACATTTGAACAGCCAAACATAATCTTTTCTTTGAAAAATAAATCAAATCAACTAGAAAAAACCCAACATTGTGTAGACTACAGTTTAATATCAGTCAATAAGAAATCAATATTCCAGTTATTTGGTGTACCAGACATAAACAGGAAATGAAGTGTCTTGATAACTAATTATTGCACATTGCATCGTGTAAAATCAATAGGAAATGTGAATAATTCAGAGGTCCTAGCTGAAGAAGCTCCTGAAGATTTCGAGTTAGGAAGAACCAATGTGACATCCTATGTGTTTCCTCAATATTAGGAAACACAAAGGAGTAGAATTTTTCTGGTTTTCCTGGTCTCAAATCCGTTTGAGAATAATGGCTTATGATTTCAGTACATAGTAGACAATCGATTTTTTTTTTCAAATTTGATCAAGATAAAATTTTTTCATCCCAAGAGAAATCAAATTCTTGTGGAATGAAGTACTGATGGCAACCCTACTTATATCTTATTTCCTGAACTGGGGCTGTCACCAAAGCTGACTAATTTTTCGGTTAATTGCTTCAAACTTTCAAATTATATTTGTATTTATGATATCAAGAAGATAGATACTATCTATCTTTGAAGGAGTCAGTTCCGAAGAGTATGGCTCATGCTCTGTTTTCTCTAAGAATCTCATCTATCATACTAAAGAAACAAAGAGAACCCATTTTTTTTAACAAAGTAAAACACTGATTTTGAATATTCATCCATGTACGCTACACTCATTTTTTATTGATTTTTATCATGATAAAATTATTTATTCTAACATTTTTCTTTCAGGTATCTTTAGTCGAATTAGCAGCAGATGTGAAACTGAGGAATGAAACCATAATAGAAATACAAAAATATTGCTCATCACAATTGGTAAGTTTTAGTTATCACAATAGCTCAGGCTAAATGAAAATAACTTTTTTATTATCATTATCATTATTATAAATCAAGAAGTGGTACAACATTCTTTTGCAATGCTAAGCTCTCTAGAATTTTCAATTTGTTGATATTCGAAATTTTGCTCCATGATTACTGTCTATAAATGCAATGAAATATATGATTATATTCAAGGAAATTTCATACAAAACTTACACTATTGATATTTTCAGAAATATTTTTCTATCTGCAAAAGCTTATGGATTAACCTGAATGACTTGACATAATACTCGATTTCAGTTTATCACTCTTGAAAACTCTATAAGGTTTGAAAAAAATTAGATGACAGCAACTTTTGATTGTGAGGCATCTGAAAGTATACCGAATATAACTTTCGTAAAATCGACACTCTTCAGGGAAAATCTTATGAAGAATTATTACTTGAAAACCACACCACACCAATTTCAAATCAAAATTCAGTTTGCAGAATTCATACCATTTGATCAATGAAATTCAAGATATTATTCTCCCGGATAATGCCAAATTGATTTCATTCGATGTAAAGAATATGTTTTCCAGTATCCCTCCGAATGAAACGATTACTTTGGTGGAGAATCTGTTGTACAAAAACTCTATCAATCCGGTAGTGAAAAATGAAATATTAGACTTGCTTACGGTATGTTTGTCACACACAATTCAATGACAAGTTTTACTCATCTTGCAAAGGTCTCATAATGGAAAACCCACTTAGTCCTATTCTGGCAGAGATTTTCATGGACGATTTGGAGAAAAGAATATACAGTAACCTACTGGTAAGAAGTTTCCTGTATTGGTATAGATATGTGGATGATATTCTGGTATGTTTCACGGGAACGAACAGACAGTTGACAAACTTTTTGAAGTTCATAAATTCTCTTCACCCATCTATCACATTCACAGTGGAGATGGAACAGGACGAATGTATACATTTTCTGAATTTGACAATAGCAAAAGTTAACAACAAACATGATTTTTCAATTTATCGTAAACCGGCACATACAGATATTATCATTCTTAATTCGTCCACTCACCCATATCAGCATAAGGTAGCAGCTTTCGACAGTATGATCCACAGACTGATAAATGTACCCTTGTCAGAAGCGAGTTTCAATGAAGAACTGAGTATAATAAAGCAAATAGCCGTCAACAATGATTATGATAGTGGTCTGATACATTCTTTATTATCAAAGAAGTTATACAGTCAAGCTTTGAAAGAAGTTTACCCAATTCGAAGAGAAAAGGATAAAAGTTATAGAACCTTAACCTACTCAGGCCAACCCACTACAAATATTTCAGATTTTCTGCACAGCAAAGGTGTAAATACTGCTTTCAAAACCAACAACAACAACTTGAGCATGCACATTAAAAATAACAAAGATAAAAGTTCAGTTTCAGAAAAATCAGGAGTGTATAAATTATCGTGTGAGTCATGTCCGATGTTTTATATAGGTCAAACTGGAAGAACGTTCAAAACCCGCATAAAGGAACACAAATATAGTTCTCAGAACGGAAAAGTAAATTCCACATATACCAGTCATCTAATCTCAGAGGGACATGACTTCAACCATGAATACGAACCCCTCCATTTCCAGAAGAAAGGTTTGAAACTTAACCTGTTGGAGAGTATGGAAATAAACAAATTCAAAAACTCTCACCATCTTATGAACGATCAAACTGACTTGAATAATTCGCCATTATTGAATCTGTTCATACGCAGGTAATAATAGTTAGGTATATTTACAGGTAGACTTTCGAAAAATGTATTGATACCTGACTTTTCAGGTATATGTTTTCAGGTAGATTTACTACTCAGGTAGACCAATAGGTACTAGGTTATAGAATATAAGGTTGTAATCTAGAAGTAACTCTTAGTTATGCTTGAAGAAGCTATTGTATAGCGAAACTCGTGTCGCGATTTTTGTAAAACCCTTATAGTGAAAATCATAGAATAAACTCTATTGATTAGTTTTTTTTTTTCTCAACAATTTGTTGGTGTAAAAGATACTATTGACGTCAAGTCAATTAGCTTTAGAAATAATCAATCTTAATGCACAATTATATTATGAGAATTTCATCTCGAATATGAAAGGCAAAAACATCTGCGTAATTCCACCATGCATTATTCAAAAGCGAGTAAATTTTTTTTTGCCAAAGGGTTCGCAACAAGTCACATCGTTTCTATAAATCATTCATACTCGGTTCTTCTAATTATCCGCCCACTGGAGTCCAGTTGCCCTCATTCATCAATTCTTTATTAACCAATCAATGAACCATTGTAAAAGAGTAGATATTGATTTATACTTTGTAATGATACAGACACTGTTTGCTCTATATATTCAATACGATGAAGGTAATTTTCTTGGTGTATTCATTTTCAAAAAGATTTTTTGTCAGATCATTTTGATATAAATGTTTATCGAGAGAAAATACTAATATCTAAACACACACCACCACTATACATATGAGTTTCGGAAGTGAGAGGGGGTGAGTTATTAATGATCAAAAATGGTTTATCTCCGCTTTCCGGCAAAACTACAACTCCTATGGAAAAAAGTTGAATAGCAAAGCTGTAGGTGACAAAAAGATCTACAACTTTTGTATTAACAATTTTTCAATATAACTTCAAAATTTATGTGAAAAATCAAAATAACGAAATTTGGAGAAAACTTACCTTTTTATGTACCAAATACACTGTAATTTATTTGATTTGAAATATTCATTTTTTCAAATTACATGCTATCAAAATAGCAACCTAATTTTCAATCGAAAATTCACGCGTCAAAATATCAGCTTTTCTCAGAAAATGCAAAAAATCGAAAAAACTCGAATTCGAATTTTTTTTAACCTTCATGTACAATTTTGAGCTGTTTATTGAAATTCACACTTTATTTACTCAAAAAACATGAGATTCCATGTTACATTGATAAACGAAAAAATTGCAGATTGAAATATAGTACTGTAATTAACAAACAAATAAGTTAATAAAGTTAATATTTAATAAGACATCTGCAATATTTTGAGAAGGTTGTAGAATTTTCTTGAAATGATATTTGTAGATGCCATTTATTGCTGTTTCGAAATAATTTATATACCTGAGTGACCTACGGAAAATTTTAGCATAAATGAACATGAATCCTTCAAAAACATTCTTGCATGTCTGTATTGTCTTTCCAGTTGCGATACAACATCTGGAATTGCCGGAAAAGGAAAGAAAAGTATCGTAAACTCATTATTAGACGCTGAAAATTTGTCAAATTAGGCCAAATTTTGCAGAGAAATAATTATTTTGTAAAACATAAAAATATAAAACCAAAAACTTAGTTATTTGAATTTTTCACATAAATTTTGAGGTTATGTGAAGAAATTGCAAGTACAGAAGTTATAATTTTTTCCATAGGACTTATTGAAGGCTTCTTCAACCCTGGTCTAGAAGGCAAAATTCTGCTAATAAATATGACTCTTTAGTTATAAACGATTCTTGTTGATAGTACTTTAGTTCAAATATCACCATGTTATATAATTTGATATTCGTCGGGTAATTGAACCTTGTGAATGTCTCAGATAGCCAATTACATCTCGGAAATGAAGAATAAATACTGAGAATTATTGCTTCTTGGTGGATTTCTGCCTGTTTGATAATGTACACTTTCTTTTTGAATATATGGAGGAAAAGTACTTTAAACTATTTTAAGCCGGGAGTTGACTGAGAAAAAAGGAAATATCTGCGCCACCTCCAATTTTCAAACATTGGAAATTGAAACTCTTCTGACGAAAATCAAGTAATTTTCATATAAGAGCTCTAAAACAACGCATTTTAAACTTATCATTTCAACCTTTTTCTCCAAAAAATTATTTAAATACTTAAAAAAGAGGAATGAAATAATGCATTNCCATACATTATATATTTAAGTAGGTTATATTTTTACCTATTTTGAATTCAAAATGTTTCAGTTCGACTTTATTCCGTGTTTCTTCACGGCATTCTTATTTCACAAACATCAACACAATTCAAATCATACGTTTTTTCTCTCATCTCAATCTCTGGTTGTCGCCTTCAGTATTAAAATAGGACTTCCATGTGTTTTTCGTCAGAGTTTATGAACCCTCAAGTTTTGTCATTTCTGAAATCTGCACTATGTTGTAGTCTACAAGAAACCCAAAGTGTATAGAAACCACTTATGAGTGAACTAAATCATGCCCCAACAGACACGGTACTTGTGAAAGTGGGATGAACCTGTCAAACCATACAAATAAGTCAATTTGCCAGATGGCAACTAGTTAAATTCATACCCCAGAACAGTAACTTTCTGTTTTTGCCTGGAAAAATATTCATCTGAGTTTGAGCTAAGATGAAAATATATAATATGTGTCACTTCGAGAGTCCATTAAACAATTAAAAATTTTGAATATCAATGCATCGAACTTTATCAAATTATATTCCGAAATGCAGGGTATCTGGTAGAAATGAGATGAATGGAATATCACATATTGTTTCTTATATTAAAATTTTGTCAGTAAAGTAGGTACTTGAAATATTTCGGATCAAATGGAGTGGTTCAGTAGTTATGTCAAAATGCTGATCTATTCAAAATTCCCCAAATTCAGGGTGAAATTAGTTGAAGTGTATCCTAGTGATATAATAATTTCATCAAAATCTTCATTGTGATTATGAGTGAGTGCCATTCAATATCGTTAAAAAATTTTTCATGATCATTCAAAAATGGAACACCATGTATTTTATTCTACATGTGATCTAACGGTTTTATAGCGGTTCTAATGTTATACCAAAAATTTCACAATAATAAACTTTCAATATTACCAATATATTTTCATTTATTTTTGGAACTCGCTAACCTGTGTGCTTTTAATGCCGAATAAACTTGTTGACGATGTAAGGCTCTTTTATTTTCAATGATCTATATGAATTCTTTTTTTTCACTACAGTTATCAACATCCTACACATATTATCATTACCTTAACTCCCTGATCGGATTTATATCAATCAGAAATTTCCATTCTAGTAACTCTTGATGATAACGCATGATGGAATTCATCATGAAACATTGTCAATCGCCTTCAAACAAACGTCTTAGCTTCTTGTTCTTTCATCATCTAGGAAGTTGATTATTTGTCTATTGGATTTTACATTATAATTTAGTTCACAAGTGCCTTTTAGCTAAAACTTTTTTCTCCGCCCACATGGAATAGCGTGTAGATGATTTTTGAAAAAATTCAAGTGCGGCTTGTAAAAATTGCAAAATTTATAAAAAAATTAACTGAAAAAATAACTGAGTGACAACTAAATCATTGTATATGGCGCCATTCATGTGTTACTGTGATGAGAAATTTTTGAAACCAATTGAAAACGTATTTCGATTTACCCGGAAATAAACTCCTCAAGTGAAAAAGTTCAAATAGAATTCTGTATTATTTTCAGACCATGAAATTATCTTTTCAACGATATAACACACGTGACCATCTCCTTTCAAAATGGCGACGTAACCATTTCTTCTAAACTCAATATGGCAGCACTATGACTTCGTTTATAGAAATGTTTTCAAACAACTGGATGTTGTGAGAAATGGAGGATTAGATTTGTTCAGTTTTCAAATGAAAATACAAGAATTGGAAGTTTTTTCAATTCACTTACTTTTCATTAAACTTTATTTATCTCAAAAATTTTATCATTAAGCTTTGTGCAGCTAAACGTTGCATTGATTTTGAAATTGAAAATTTTTTTTGAACCCACTCAAAGGAATAATCCATGAAATTTTTCATTTGAAAGTCATCAATGTTTTCATTTTGAAATCAAGGCTCTTGATTCTACCCATTCCAGATCTTTCGATATTAAATTTTAGAACAAATACTTTTTTTAAACACATTCTTCAATAATTCGAGAAATTAAGAAAGAAAACGCATTCCCTAGAGACTGAACATTCATGATTTTACTACATAACCCTTCAATAAATACATGCAGACGATATTGATCTACAAAATAATAGTCCAAGGCCTTAGAGCCATGGGGTACACCTGAAGCTAATCAGTGAAGAATTTTATATTTTGTAGCCTCATTTTTCGAAACTCTATTCTGCTTTGCTTGCTGCTTCTGCATTACGGAAAAAAATCATTTCGTTATCGATGAACTGAAATGATGGGAAATATAATCAGGAATCTTGTGAATTTGAGATGAGAGATAAAAAATCGCTGGTATCAATTATGTGGTATTTTTTATACCTATAAGGCATAAACAATTTGATATACATCAAAGATTTTATAATTGAGAAATCAAAAGGAACGGAGAAACACGAAACGAGTGGGTTATATTTATTTATTAGAATGTTTTTATGTGTCGCTTATACCATGCAGAGAATATCTTGAAATAGCGTAGGCATTTTGTATTGGTACAAGCGTAATATAAATTGACAAATAGATCTTATCTTCGTTATTAATTGGATATTATAACAGTATTTTTATTTGCAGAATTCGTTTTGGGAGTGTCTCAATGCAACGTTCAAAGGTAAGTTAGATAAGGAATGGTCATTATCGCAAAGTGAAGAGTTGTTAAAATGTTTATGGTTTTATACTTCGTCAGTACGATTGTTTAATACGTAAGAACTGAAACGCAACACTTATCTCAAGGTTGAATTTTCGAGAATGACTCACTATTTGTTTTTGAGGTGATGGTAGGATTTCTAGTATCAGCCTTACTATTGAACGATGTATGCGTTTTTGCTATTTTACTATAAAATAGTTTATCTGATATTTCGTTTGTCGGCTTTTTATTTGGTACTATTTCTGAGAGTTTTTGTTCCAAAAAATTAATGTTCTGCTTCAATAGTAGTATATGCTTCAATAGTATTGCGGAGGTGAAATATAGCAGAAGTTCAAGGCACATAGGTTCATAAAATTTAGGTATTTTCAATTGTCATTGTCAACGTTTTATCATTGTGATATTTATTATAGATTTTTTTGTAATGTAGATTTCGTTCTTGACTTCGTTCGTGTGAACTGTGCCTTATAATTAATACTCTCGCGTAAATTCCGATCCCGTGGAAACATCTGGATGAAAAGTAGCCTTTACTACTTTTGTATGATAAACATTTCTAATAGAGAAAATATTATTGGAATTGGTTTAGTAGTTTCATATAACTTTTCACATATAGTCAGTGGGTATACTTGAAGACTGGCTATAAATCAACACATCTAAAAGAACCATTTAATTTATAGCCAGTCTTCAAGTATGCCCACTGACTATATGTGAAAAGTTTTCTTTCCGTATACGAGGAATTGGGCAAAATTCGGATATGCGGTTGGTTACCTTGTTCACAGGCAGATGGGGCGATGACTAACCGTGTTGTTTGTTGTCCGCTTCAGCCTAGTTCAAGGAATGATACTCTGAAGGAATTATCGAAAGTCATCGACTTTATGTTGATGATAGACACTACCTTGCACTGACGAGTGGCCAAACAGCCCGAAACCTGTCTGCAAGTGTATTCCAATAATTGAAAATTTATTGCGGCAGTTGTATCGCCAACAGCATATGCAGGAATAACTTCTGTACAGAATCCTGCATTGACACCTGTCGGATATAACTCAGCGCCCATCGTGGTATTAGCCAGGGGAATAGTTGTTTTCTGATAGGTGTCAGTCCATTAACATACAGTGTAGGAAGTTGAGACTGGCCTGAACAAATTGTTCTTTGAGATGATTTGAGTTTCATATACTATAGATTATAGCTGACCTTATTTCGTCTGCCTTGCTGCAGAGTCACTGGTAACCATGGTGCTAGAATAACTGTTACTGCAAGAAAAAAATTTATATTCAAACATAATTGATAAAAACAACATTTCTCTTATATCGTCAGATAACACTCTGAGATCCTGCTCACCAGGAACGTTCATGTTTACACCTGTTACCAATTGGGAAGTCTTCAATGGTATTCACGGTTCAAAATAATCTAATTAAATTGATATCGACCATCTCAACAGTGAATAAATAAAGGCAACTGGTGATCTGATTTTTGTTCAAATTGTATGAAAAGGCTCATTTCCACACACATTTAAAATGAGTAAGGTAATTCCAGTTTTCGGAAAATGCGACAAGAATATTATCGAAAATGATTAACTCAATATACTTCTGTTCAAAAATTCATATACTTTTTGAAATTGTTATCAGAAACAGGTTAATTTTCTGTTTCGACAAACACAATCTTTTAAATTCTGATCAGTATGGTTTCCGTATGTCTTGCTCCACTGTATATCAGCAGGGGTACGTGCGATGAGAAACATTGTCGAAGGCTTTGAGAATGGTCTTCATAAAGCTGTAGCGTTTGTTTTGAGACTTGAGCAAGGCATTCGACTCAGTCACCATTAACTCCTTCATAAAAGTTAGTAAATACGGGGTCACAGGTGTAGCTGTCTTACTTTCCACATCATATTTATATAATCGATAGCAATCTATTCTTTGTTCATATAAATACTGGAAGAAAATCAGTAATCATTCCAAAATCTGTTTCCACTCACTTAGGATTCCACTCAGTAAATCTCAATTGATCATTACCCCAAATTAGTCCTTCAACAACTAGAAATATGCTTCAATTGTGCTGAATAATTTCTGTCTGTATGTTCAATTATCCACCTACCCGCACAACCAATTTGTCGACCACTTTAAAAAGGGGTAAATCAACGGTTTTTTACGACTTCGTTTATTAACGATATCTTCATTATTATTGATGGTGCCAGAGTAAACATTCTGTTACTGAACTTAATCAGCAAGCTCAAGCTCAATTCATGTAGATGATTTTTATTTACTTTCGTTTCATAGTGAATCTTATGAGTGTGAATAATTTTACTTAGTACAGTCAATAGATCAAATGTATCTACTTCAGCATCTGAAATAAATAGTTTCAAGTCAAGATTGAAAGGTGTTTAGTTTCAAGAGAGATTGATTTTTGGGAAAGGAAGGTTTCGGTTTTCTACTTCTCCATCTTCATACACTTATGCACTTTGAGCACTCAAAATTTGATGCTAATTTTTGATCCTTTTTCATCAAAAAGTATAAAAATTGCTAATCGAATGTAGTTATCCCGTGAAGTTTTTTGAACAGTCCATGTACGCTCATGAGTTCATGTGAACTACTTGACTGAATATTATCAACCGATTTTGCTGCATAAATGCACATTGATTCACGGAAAACGTTACCGTTCAGATGCAAATCAAGGAGACAACGTGCCAACGTGCATTATTACTAAATTCTATGTTTTGAAATTCAGATACTAACACAGGTCACGTAAAACGAAAAATGTGCATCGATTGTTAATGTTATTGAATATGAACAAAAGACAGTTTCTGGCTAGTGTTAGATCTCCATAATTTGTACTAGAAATGTGTCATGAACATATCTCCTTTCCTCAATGGAACCACCAACACTGTGGCCAGTGGTGGTCCCATTGGCAGTCGTTGTGTGACTTGATTTCGTCCAGTACACAAAATACCTTTTTGGAAATCTCGCCAAATCATGGGATACATGAATCTTCAGATGAACAAACCTGAGGGACATATTATTCTTGGGAATCTTCAATAGTGTATATAGGTATAGCGGCTTAATCTTGATTGGTGTCAAAAGTATTGATCTCTTTTCAAAGTGTAAAACACATACAAAGTAATTTTGTGAAACCTTCCTGTGTTTCATTTTCCTGAGGTGAATATCTTCAATCTTCTGTTCGTGAAGGTTTGCCTTCAAATTGACTGTGCCATTCCATTGGTCTCAAGTAGAATCTTCATCTGGGTGTTGTTGAATTCTTCCGCCAAAGCATGGTTGATAAATCAACTGATTCATTTCACAACACTGATTATGTACAGGGTCTTTGCGTTGACGAGTTTAGGTTTTCGAAGCAAAATTTTCTCCCAGTTGTGTACGTTTTCGATTGTGTGTATTCTCTATGTCTCTATGCCTCGACGCGTTGCTATTTGAATTCTAGGTAGCGTCATCTGAAGAGGACTTTTACTATTAAAAAATAATAATGAATGCGAAACCTAGAAGTAGAAGAATGAAAAGTAGTAGAAGGGGAATATTTGGATGAGTGGGTGAGGATGTGAAATGATTATGAGCAAAGATGGTAATGAAATGAACTAGAATGACAACGATATTTTTCATCGAATCTTTCAACCCAAGCTAGCTTCCTTATCCTTACTTCTTGTCACCATTCGAAGTAATTAAGACGATTGCAGACCGATAACATTTCCCATTAAAGAGGTTCCAATCATTCACAGTTATACAGAGATTTAATTAAAAACCGTTCTAAGCAAACATGTACGATTTATCTCCGGCAGAGATGGTGCCCTCCCTCTTAACAGTGGCGGATCTAAGGTGATCATCAGATGGGGGCATGCTCAAGAATATAAAAGATTTTTGATGTTTGAAAATGAAATCATAGAAAAATTTAATCGAGAATATACATTGAAATGAAGAAGCAAAAAAATATTCTTTCATATCTCAACGACAAATATAATTTTGGTTTTGGAAAAAAAAGCTTTTTGGGTTTCTACTTCACAATCTTAATACAAAAAATGTCTGGAACTTTCGAAGATATCATGCATAGAAATAACTTTCAGATAAAATCTGAAGGAAAAATGTCCTTTTAAACAACTACTCTCACATGAACATTGGAAAACAAGAAAATTACTTTTATCCATTCAGTTCATACTCCTAACATTCGTTACGGATATTTGAAACGTAATATATGAAAACTATATAAAAAAACATCATGTAGCGTTCTTATGGATGCCATCTGTTTCGATTCCAGTGAATGGAAAAAAGNAAAAATAAAATAAAAACAATAATGAAAATGAATATGTTATTAAAAATTTTACACACCAGGATATGAATATTTTTCGAATTTTCTAAGAGTTTAATCCACGAAAGCTTTTTGTCTCATGTGGAGAATGTCTAATAGTAAACATTAACGATTCTGAAGAAAATTCAACAGATTCTTTTTTAACCTTGCTCTTCAGGTCATGAACATCAACGATTTGTAATCTTCAAATAAATTATTAGTATAATGAGCATAATGCAATTGTTCGAGAAATCTTGGAGATATTGGGCCAATGTGGGTCCAAATCATTTTTTTAGTTTCTTTTATAGAATTTCTTTCACTTTCCAGAATTTGCGTTGTACCATTCTGAAATTTCTGGAATTGTCTTTTTCAGTTGGTTAATAATTTCAAAAACGAGCTTCTATAAGTTTTGTGTTACAATAATTCTAACATGATCAGTATACGTTTGTGAGAGCCATTTTCGTACTACTTCAGAACAGGAACTTCTAAAGAAAGCAAGTTATTGGCTTTTTACTTCTCCATCTTCATACAAAAAATGTGAGAAAAAAATGGAGAAGTGAAAGCCACCTTCCAAAAATTAATCTCTACTTTCAATTTAAACAAGATTCTCATGGCTGGGATAAGATCAAATAAGCAAATGAATGTAATTACGTACTGTCATCGATGACATGAATAGATTTAAC